GATCACTCTAAGAGGATGTCTACGACAAAGTTGAACAAGAATGGAGAGAGTGGACAGCCCTGACGGACACCACTTGATGTAGAGAATTCAGATGACAGTTCGCCATATGCTCTCACCAGACCAGTGGTGTTCGAGTAGAGTGCTTGTATAAGGTTAATGTACTTCTTTGGTACACCTTTCAATGACAGACACTGCCACAGAACCTCACGATCCACAGAGTCAAATGCCGCTTTTAGGTCCAGGAACACGACTATTGTCGGAAGTCTAAATGTGTGTCTGTGTTCCAGGACCTGTCATAGTGTGAAGATGTGGTCTATACAACCACGTCCAGGTCGAAAACCAGCCTGGTTTTCTCGAGTCTGCTCTTCACGAGCTCTAGTTAGACGTCTAAGTATAATCGAGGCTAACAATTTAGAAACTATATTAGTTAAACTTATTCCCCTGTGATTGTCACAAGAGGACTTCTGTCCTTTCTTGTAGATTGGGACAATTAGCGACTGAGACCAGTCAGATGGGATTACGTCCATTTCCCAGATTCTACCTAAGATCTCAGTCAATCTAGCTGCTAAAACTAGACCACCATCCTTAAACATCTCAGGGGTAAGCCTGTCGGGACCTGCCGCTCTACCTCCCCTTAGATTTCCTATAGCTTTCTCAACTTCATGTAAACTGGGAGGACTTAAATCGATTTGCCATTCAGGATGACTGGAGATCGTGGGCAACTGAAGAGTGGCTGAAGGCCAGTTGAACTGATCCCTAAAGTGTTCTGCCCATCGGTCCAGCCTCCTAGATTGAGAATGGATAATAAGACCATCCTTTTCCGAGATAGTCTCACTCACATTCGGCTTCCTAATACCGGTTTCTTTAATAAGGCGGAAAAGTTGTCTAGTGTTGCCGATCGCCGCTGCCTTTTCCATCGCTTTTGCTTTCGCCACCCACCACTGTTCACGGTCGTTACGTAGGCTTTTTTATAAGTCTGTGCCTAAGCTGACTACGCTCTTCATCATGTTCGGAGCCAGGTGGGATGCGTTTTCGAGCATCCATCAGTTCGGTGGATGCGACTGAAATCCACTGCTTCATCCTAGCATTGTGGTTTACCTTGCTAGCAGATACCATTGCTGTTTCCACAGCCTTCTTGATATGATTCCAACCTGCTTCAGGATGGGCATCACTTGCATGGCCGCCTAACTGTTTTTCTAGTTCCTCCTGAAACATTTTCTTAGCTTGATTATCATCAAGTGAAGCCCTAAGAGGCTTTCTTACGGTGTCTTTCCTACGTCCAGCAAGCCTCAAACAAATACGTGCTCGCACTAGGGCATGATCTGAATCTAAACATGTGCCCCAGAACGAGCGACAGTCCTCTATCGAACCCCTCCATCGGTGGCTGATGGCGATATGATCTAGTTGGGTCCAACGTTGAGACGACTTCGGGGGTCGCCAGGTCAAAAGGTGTTTTTCCTTATGCTTAAAATTAGTGTTTGCTAGAAATAGTTGGTTATCTGAGCACAGTTGCAACAGACGGTCGCCATTGTCTGTTCTTTGAGCCGCGAGACCGTAACATCCACCTAGGTGTCTTTCATTTTCACTTAGTCTACCTATTTGTGCATTGAAGTCACCAGCCATTATAACTATATCAGAGCGCTTAACTTTTTGGAGGAGGTCCGAAAGCTTTCTGTAAAACTCATCTTTTACATCATCTGGGCTGCAGTCAGTGGGGGCGTAGGCTGATATGACGAAGAGGCAACGGCGAGTGTCCCTATCTTTCCGAGTCCTTACTGTCCCGTTCAGTCGGACGGCGCACAAGCGACTATCTACAGGGATCCAGTCAAGGAGAGATTGTTCTGCCCTACGACTCAATGCTATACCTACACCGGCGAGGCCCCTAGAAGCAGCATCAGGGCTACCGGATACACGAAGGGTAAATCGAGCTGCTTCTTTATCTTGACATGGTGAGGTCAAATGAGTGATGCTACTCGGATCCTGTATGCGCGTTTCCGAGACGCAGCATACATCGATGGCACGAGATTCTAAAGTCCTAGCTAATGATGCCTGTTGCCCTATTTGACACAATGTCTGTACATTGAATGCTCCAACATGTAGTTTGGAACGAGGTTTAAGGAGACCAGGAACGACGTTTCGCAAACTCGCATCGTTTGCATTAGCTGTGCACTGTAATAAATGAATGTGAGAAGAGTTAGTTGTGGAGATAAGAGAGGTATTAGGGAATGTAGGAAGGATTTGATTTTGAACAATTTGGTCTCGTGTGTTGTTGCGGGTATGAGGGCGGTTATCACTTCCCGGCTGCCCACACCGTGGAAGGTTGTTTCTTGACGAACCTGAAAAGGAAGATGGATTAGTGTTGGTGCGCGACCGCAGGGTCCAAGGGACAACTGCTTGAGGCCGGTCACGCACGGCCCTTTTATGAGACGTTGTTTGAGGATTAGCTCCGTTCTTAAAGGCCCTTAGTGAGCACCCTTACCGCCGGAGACGGAAATCCGTGAGTTAGGGGAGGTGTGACATTTTTAGGGCCGACCTTTTCTAACCCTTCCTTGCTTCCTTGTGAGAAGGCAGCATCGCTGCAGATGTTGGTTGTCCGACGGAAACACCTTACTGCTGTCACACCCCTCCATCACAGTCAGCAGTACGACTTCGCCCTCAGACCTTGGGTAGCTGCTTTTAGTCTCATCGTTCTCCAATCGACGTGCCTGGCATGGTAGGACCTGCAGGAACATATGTTCCAGCCAGTATAGCTCGGTTGGGTCATCACGATAGGCAAGCCCGACCACCACGTCAAGGTAGCAGCTTCGGTCGGGAGCGAGGTGCAGGAGTCGTGGATACGCTGATGATGTGCTGATGAGTCCCATACTAGGACGAAACGGCCGTCTCTCAGTGCTTCCAGGTTTCTAATGGTGGTCTAACAATGATTGATTGATGATTTCAAATGTGCGACATCGGTTTTACTTTGATATTGATATTGATAGAATCTGTTGACTGAGAAATCTGTTTTAAAAATAACTGGTTAGGGTGGAGATACTGATAGTTTCATCCATAGTCAGTAGTTATATGTGTATGTATACACTAATCGATAAATTTGTTAGGGGATCATAATTCATTGAAAGAACTTTATTCATCACAACCTGAGATATACTGTGTCTGATAATATCAATCAATAAATATATGAAGCTTCTGATTACCGTTAATTGTGTTGGAAATTCACTGATGGAACTTTAAGTGAAGTAAATCAAACGGAAATATTACATCATTCCTCTTCCCTCATACAGAAAAAGTAATTCAATGTGAATTGACTGACAAATTTTGAAAACTAAACTTATATGTTTAGTATGTTAGTTACACATGAACGTCGACATGTCATTTGATATGCTTGAACTACTATGAGTTTACGATAGTCGGAAAATGAGAGCTAGGATCGAGGATCCGGCGGACACGACAGGCTACTTACTCTAATCTGATTGTCCCGAACCCCCCATTGAGTAAAAGAAGAAGATTTGATATGAAGTAGAACGTGTATTCTACAAACAGGCAGTAAGTACGAATTCCGAGTCCGGGTCATAAAACATTACAACTAATGCTTATT